AGACAATGGGATCTCTTCCTTTGCACTGAAGTCAGCAGCAATTTTGACACTGTCCTAGTAGGTGCAGACATGGGCCTGACACACTTAAGGAAGTGGGAGGAATGGATCCAGTTTGTACAATTCATTAGAAATTATTCATGACACTTTTCCATGGCTGGACAGAAAGATACCATAAGAGAGCATACAATATAAAACCATAAACACCCTATCACCCTTTAATAAGAGGTGTTGAGTTTGCAGGGTTTCCTACAGAGAAATTTCTGATTCTAACCTGGACAAGGGCTTTCTGAAATCAATACAATCAAAAGACATTAACATCATCCTACACAGGGTTAGTCCCAATATAAATGTGTTCTCTTTAATTGCTCATTTAAGGTACCTTTTTCTATTTACATTTACAGTATGTGCTGTTGTCAGTGTAGGACCAGATTAGACTGAACATTAGAATAAATGCAATACAATTTCTTTCTCTCTTGGGACAAACCAGTGAGTAAACTTTAACATGATAGGAATGTTTCAAAGTGAAAATTGAAAACACATTTCCCCAAGCCAGGGTTTCTCTATGTACAGCACATCTTGGAAAAGCAGCATAGCATCTCTGCATGTTTGCTTTTCACTAAGTACAGCACAGAAGAAGAAGCCAACTATCTTTAAGAAATGGGAACAAATATCATCAGGGTGAACAAACAAGTGGCCAAAATATTTTTTTAGAGAAACAACTAAGAACTAAAAACACCAAGTCAACAGAAGCAATGAATCATGTATTTATGGTCAAAGCAACTGTTCAGGGTTTTTTCATGTTCATTAGCAATAGGTCAGTGTGAAATGTCAGAAACTCAAAAGGCTCAACCCTGCGTAGCACTTCTGTAGGGCTTCCACCATCCTCCTCCTTGTCCAGACCAGCTCAAAACACCAAATAACAACACATGATCTTGGCACACAATGAACTCAATGCTTTCCACATCAGCCTTCAAAAGCATGGTGCTCTCTGTGGGCTAGAAAAAAAAAGGAAGAACATGTAAACTCTGTCAAGGAGTTGAAAAGATTAAAAAAAGAGAAGATAAAAATGTATAAATCAGTCAAGGGAGAACACAATGTGCTAACAACTGTTTGATAATACATTTATAGGGAGCCTAAAATATGAGGTCCCTTAAAATCCTGATTGCAAATGGTTCCTCTAAATTAATGCTTAAATTGGATAGTATGTAGCCTTGAGAGTCATTAAGAGCTTTGTTTAACTTTTTGGGGAATCTGGTACATTAAACACAAAACAGATTGTACAATGAAATTTAAAATATCTTTTGAATGATAGCTAACTTCTACATTGAAGGGACATAATTTTAATGCAATGTCAGCTGCTACATTCCTAAGTGATTAGTGATGAATCAGGCAGGATATCTCCATAGAAATACCCTACCAGCATCTTATTTTTCTAATGAAGGTAGAAATGAACAGTAAAAAATACTTACATTTATAAAAGACTGCTTTAAAAGATGTGTGTGGAAGAAGTTTATAAATCTTTTGTAAAACTTTTGCTTCACTTGCTGAAGAGGAATTCATGTTCCAGACTTGCACAACATCTTCAAGGTCACAACATCTTCACTAACCCCTATTACTTCATCATCTGCAGAAGGGGAAGAACCATCAAGAAATACTTTAAAAGTGAGACACGTCTAATTTGCTACTTATGTATTATGAAACAGTGCCCAAAAGCTGGAAAAAAAATAAAGATGTGAAAAAAAGAGCAATCTCCAGTGAGGAAAATACCAATGCTCAAACCAGACAAAGCAGTTACCAGAAAGAAGTTATTGGAAATATTACCTCATGGTGGTTTTTATGAATTGCCATAGGATTATTCATCTTTGCTATTAGCACTTTTAGACTTGATTAGAATGGAATCACAAGACTCCCTCCAGTAAGGTCAGCAATATGAACTACTAGAGACAATTTACCCACAGTGATGTCTATAAGCAGAAATGGGAGGATGAGGGTGAAACAACTAAAACCCCAGGAAAAGTTTTGGAGATCAGACACCAGCTTTTCCAGACTTTGCTCTCTTTTTCCTTTCCATTTTGTCAAGGCAGCAACAGGAAAAAAAGAAAACAAAATTAATGAAATTAATAAAGCCCCAGTCAGACTGCTGCTGCTGCCAGTGCTGGTAACTCAGTGCTACACTGAAGAAGCCCTTTCTGGTGGGAAGTTCTCAGGATGCAGCTTTGTGGAGAGCTCAATGGCCGTGCCACAGCTGGGAGCAGTGGCTGCTCCAGCTGTGAGCTCCATGGCACAGCTGCTGTGTGCATCCCAAGGAAAGGGTCACCAACAATGCACAAAGGTGGTGTCAGAAGCACAAGGCCAAGGGCAAGAACTAACTCTGGGGACAGCAGAATATAATATATTTGCTTAAACCGACCCCAAGACAACGTTATCAATGTATAAAGGCTGTGAGAGACCATTTCAAAGGTTATTTCTGAAGTGCTCTGTAAACTTGAGAAAGGCCATTCTTTTTTGTGGAATAGTAGCCAGTGAAAACAATTCCTCCCAGGATATTCACTGTCACAGTAACAGCCACTTTTATCAGATATTCACGCTTAGAAGAGAAGCAAATATGGTGAAAAGAATGATGGAGAAATGTCTCAATCATTACCTGCTGCACAGCAATCTGCAAACTGCTCTCCAATAGTTGCTAGCAGTAGCTCTTTCCAAGCTGCAGCCTAAGGAGGCAGAAAAATATTACATTCACATTATTATTTCTTAAATTGAAAGTTAGGTTTTCTAGCTCAGTTTTGAGTGTCTTCTCTTTCTGAGGTTGTCTAGACAAAAAGGAGTATTTATTGTAAGTGCATGCTGTGTTATATAATTAAATGTTGGGTCTGTACAAGATGTTTCATCTTAGCCAAGGAGATGCTGTGCCCACGTCTGATGAAGAATGAAGAAAAAAAGAAAAAAGAGAAACAGGCATAAAGGTGTTATTTATGTTATTTACAAGGCACTGAAAGCTGGCTGAAGTTCACCTTCAAGCCAACCTTTCAGAAGTGACTGAGGCCACGTGGTGCATAGTTTGAGAGATCAAAAGTATCTTCATGTCAAAAAGGGGCTGTCATTCAGCCTCTGAAAAACAAGGCCTCTGGGGTCCCTAAATTCACTGCCCAGTAATTCAGGCTCTCCAAACCACTTGTCACTTCTGACAATCTTCACACCTTGGATTATAGGAGGAAAAAGACAATTTCAATTTCAGTCTTTTGTGACCACTTGGGACTGCGGGGGAGGAAAGCTGCAACTCACAAGGAAAAAGCCCACAGGCAAAAATCAATTAACTTTTGGCTGAAATTTTGACTACCATCTTTCAGCATTTAATGCCTTCTGCAAGGCTGTCACATTTTTCTGACACTTCACTTTTTCTGTTTAAAGGTCTGATCCAGAGCACACTTACACACATAAACACCATGTGTGAAGAGGTCAAATCTCCTTTCTGTGGCAGTTCACAGAAGTTACTCACATGCATTTGATTAGAGAGGCAAAGAGAAACACAGTTATTTCATTAGAGCTCAAGGATATGCCTGAATAGACTTCATCTTCTTCATCTTTCACACTTTTAAATGAAAAAATATATAATTTAGCATAGATTATCAGAAAAAAGTCTTTCTATTTTTCTTTGTATGTCTATAAGCAAACAGTCTTGAGAACAAAGGTGATTATAAATTACCAAATTGAAACACTGTAGCTTTCATTATTATTTATAATACATTGCCAAATGTTATCTAAAGCAAGAGATACGTAATTATTGGAAAGTAAACTTCTGCTCTTTGACTTTAAAAGGTTATGAAAGTTAAAGTAGTGTTTGGTTGTTGTGTTGGGTGATGCAAGAAGTAAAAACCTTTACAACAGCTTTATCAAACAAAGTTTAAAGAAACTCCCTTACTAAACAAGGTCTGAGCAAAGAGTCAATGTAACATACCGTACTTTCTTTAGGGACCTTCATTTTCCATTTTCCTCCTTTGGCATTGCTTTCTTCTTCCCTGTTATGGGAAACAGATCAGTGAAAATACACATTCAAATCCACATCTAGATAACCCTATGTTTGTGGTTTAATTTTCCCAGAAAAATCCCATCTGAAATGCAATTACTAACTCCAGGCAGCATGACTCTGACTTCTGACATCAGAGATAATTCTTTCATTGTTCATATGAAGTCTATCTCTCAACACCTAATCCTTTTCCTAAGTTTTGTGAGTTGGAAAACACTTGTATTTTCCCTGACTACAGACCATCTTTGAAGTGGCTGCACACTGCATGGGAACATGCCACAAAACAATTTTACATTTTACTATGGTAACCTTTAATTTTGGAAAACCTCTGGCATATTTTCACAGAAGCAGCTTTTTACTCTTCCGTTTATTCAGTTTAATAAAAGAACATGAGCACACTTCATTTCAGTTTTGTGACAGCTAGAAATTAATTGCCCTTATTAAAAAAAGAATGGAGCTGCTGCAGGTCAGGGCAGATGTAACCATTAAACTGCCTTGTAATGACAAAGGCACACTGCACTAATCTGTGAGCTTCTCAAGTTTATTCTGTCACAATGCTTTTTCTAAGACTTTAAATTAGGGCTTTGGTTTTCCTGTAAAGACCAAATTAAAGGAATAACCTAAAAATTCATCTTTGGATTATCTATACCCAGTGTGATTCCTATAGATTCCTCAGGACCAATGGTCTCTCATCAATCCTGACAGATTGTACATTTACATCCAGAGGTGGACAGTGAAATTACAGTCTGTGTTTCTAATAAAGACTCTTTGGTACAAGTCACTTTTAAACTGAACAAGAACCTCGGGGTTTCTTTCATTGCTCTCTTGAGTTCAGGTGTTTGCAGCCAACAGAAACAAGACCCTGCTGTCCCAAACCTTTCACTCCTTCAAGTGATTCCAGTGCCCATTCCCAGCAATGTCTGATGACAGCACACGTACCAAAGCAGGCACCTTTCTCCCCTCATTAAATGGTAGCTACATCTCAGAGGCAAGTTTGTCACAGGAGGAATGCTGTTGTAGACACTCCAGAAATCCTTGAAAAGGAAAAATATTAGTTGCATTAACACAAGAGAGTGTTTCATGCAGATTTATTTCCTCGCTAATTTCCTCTGAACCAATTACACATCCTCCTCCTGGAGAACCAGCACCTTCCATGTTATAATAAAATGCTCTGAAAGGAACTTCTTACAGAATCATTTCTACTTTTATTTTTTTTAGATGCCAATCCTGCATATGTGAAGGTGGGGAAAAGGGAAACAGTCCAAATGTGGATTATCCTTTTGAATCCAGAGGGAAAAAAATCATCAAAACCAGAGTTACACTGACTATATCAGAGCAAACCAGTACATAAAATTTCCTTTGCATATTAAAAAGACATATTTATATCAAATATCCACCTTGCTTCACTTAAGCATCATTATGATTATCCTGAGTTACAAAAACAACACAAACAATAATGCTGGTGAACTAAATGTCTAACCAGCAACCAACTAGTTTCTCTGAGTGAAAAGTTTCAACCAGATGCAAAAAACCTGAAATGCACATGTTGATACAGGAGTGGGGGAGAAATGCAAAGATTCAAGTTACCAGGAACCATTGGATTACTTCCCAATGTTCCTGCTGGTAAAAGCAGAAGCTGTCAGGGAGGTTTGGGATGGATAAAAAGGCACCTAAAAGTAGTGAGCAACAGGGAGGGATCATTGAAAAGATTCCAATCTTTTCACTCTTTATCTAACAGTTGGGAATAGAAAGGATTTTTCAAGACTTAAGTTGCATCAACACGTGGTGATGCTATATTAATCATTAGTGCAACTCATTAAGTATTATCTAGACATAATATGTAAGTATTATCTAATACATTAAGTAATGTCTAATACTTAATCACTAGTACAACTTTAGAAACAAGGATTGCAACATTATGTGATAAAATTTTGTGGCCCTTGGCAACTCTGCCTAACAGCCATTACCTCTACCCAGCCACAAGAAGAAATTGAAGACTACTAAAAATATGAAAATTTGGCATGAAATACCCATTTCAACTATGATCTTACTCTTAAATGGTTGTGTACCCAAACCCTAAAGCTACTTGCAGAAGAAGGAGCAGAGAGTACACTGGTACATGGCTGTGGAAATATTTGAGAGCTCTTTTTGTCCTGAACTAGGGATGTGGTTTGGAAGGTTTTGTGTTTGGAAATCTCATGCAATGTATGAAGTTGTGCAGACCTTCATGAGAAAGCCTTATTTAAAACTTCAGTAGATTGCTACAGGTGTGCTTCTCAAAGAGAAAGGTCTGGCATTACCCTAAAATTTCAGAGATATAGTGAAATAGCTTAGCACTAAGGTGAGACAAATGCCACTTTGCTACACACATCATGCTAACTGTGGTATTAAAACAGAAATACAATTTTATTTGCAATAGACACCCACTGCTAGGCAATGGTAGATGACACAGACATGCAGAATTTCTTACTGCTGCAAGTATTACACAGTTTAAGGGTCCATTAATTCAGTTTGCTAGAATATTTTTTTAGATACATACTCAAGGAAAGAAACCGCACCAAAAAAAAAAGCCACATGCCGCAATTTTTAGTCTTTGTGCAATTAATTTCTGTATTAGAAAAAGGAGAAAAGGCTGGAAAGATATTTAAAGTACATCAAATATTCAATGTACTAGCAGAAACACAGGAAGGTTTAAGAATCCACATGCCAAATCCAATATTCCTCCTCCTTTCCCCATCCAGAAAGCCAAATGAAATGCAAACACTGACTCAGTAATACAAACACACAACACCAGGACCACTCACGTTTCAGAGCTCAGGTAAGCAAAGCCACAGGTGTGACTCATCCTAGGAGGAAAAACGAAACTTGAGGTGTGAAGTTACATTAATAACATGTGGCAGCTCCTGCAGCAGAGCCAGGCGCCTTACCTGCACTGTTTGTACTGTATACATATATCTTCTTCAAATTTAATGCACATTCAGCCGCTGTTGTACCAGGAAGTGACCTTGAAGACAAAGCACTGATTAATTAAAGTATTTATTTTTTCAAGGAGGTGGAGAAGGGAGATGGAGAAGGAATGTGAATTGCATGAGTGTGAAGTTGAAATGTTCACATGTCAAAGGGGAAGTCCAACTCCAAATTATCACGAGTCGCTTAAAGATAGGAGTTAGAGTTCTTTAATACTTGTGAATAAATTAATATTTGCCAGGCAATTCATAAAACTAAACACAAGTATCAGGAATTTTAGCCAACAGCCCAGCGCTGCCCTCAGAGCTACCAAACACCCATCAAAGCTCTGCTATTCACAGGCGACCAGAAGGGGACCGCATGATCCTACCCCGAAATTATTTTCAATTGCATTTAATACACCCCAGCCCCCGTTTTTAGCATTTTAAGGCGCTGCCGGTGCTTCACACTTTGAAAGGGAAGCTCATCCGCACGCCTTGCGCTGCCGGGCCCTCAGAGCGGGCCGCTAGGTGGCGCAGGCGCACAGCCGGCGGGGCAGCGGGCACGGCGGGACAGGCGGGCAAGATGGAGCGCGGGCACGGCGGGGCAGCGGGCACGGCGGGACAGGCGGGCACGGCGGGGCACGCAGGCACGGGCACGGCGGGGCTGCGGGCACCTTCCCTTAACCCCGCACCTTCCCTCACCAGCGGTCACACCCGCCACGAGCTCCTCGCCACCCCTGAGGGGTGGGACACGCGCACGGGCTGAGGGAAAGCGCAAGTCCCACATGTCGGGCTATGGCACTCAACGCACCCACGGAACCTCCATGTCTCCAGGCAGTTCTTCCTGCCTGGAGACATGGAGACTGGCACTGATGCCTTCAAGCCACATTTACCATCAGCACGCCCTGTAAAGCCAAGACATCCTTGAGCATCCAGTGAGACATCCTTGGGCTGGTCTCACTGCCAGACAGCCTGGTACACCAGGCGTGGTTCAGCTTCTGTAGCTCACCCTCACACTGACCATCACCAGCTCCCATCTGGGGCTGCTTCTCACCCTCAAGGGAAGCCATCAGAGGAGTGGTTGAGGTCACTTGGTCTGTTCAGCCTGGAGGAGACTGAGGTCTACATTGAGGTCTACAAGTTCCTCATGAGGGGAAGCAGAGGAGCAGGCACTGATCTCTGTCGTGACCACTGACAGGACCCAAGGGAACGGCTGGAGCTGGGCCAGGGGAGGTTTAGGCTGGATATCAGAAAAAGGTTCTTCCCCCAAAGGGTGGTCAGGCACTGACCAGGCTCCCCAGGGAATGGTCACGGTCCCATGGCTGCCAGAGCTCCAGGAGCACTTGGACAATGTTTCCAAGCACAGGGTGTCCCCCTTGGGCCAGAAGTTGAACTCAATGATCCTCATGGGTCCCTTCCAACTCAGGATATTCTGTGATCCTTTAGGCACACAGCACCAGCTGCATCCCATCATCTGAAAGGTCTTTTCCAACCGAAATGGTTCTATTTATAATCTTTTCCATGATTCTTCAGTGCGTGAGACATGGGATGGTGCATCCCACACCCCCAGAAATCCCTGTGTTCCTGTCACTGCACTAACATCCTAACACCCACCTTACAATTCCCAGCACACAATCCCACAGGCACAATTTTGGGGGAATGAGGTCAAAATTGCTAAGGCACATTCAATTTCTTAGAACTAGAAACATTTTTCTTTCCCTTCAGAAGCTGAAGTAGGATTTCTAAAGAAAAACGAAGATCAAAGACAAAAGCAACCTCCCATTGTGTCTCAGAAGAGGAAACAAAAATGTGTAAAATTACTAAATCTGGAAACAGAAGCAAGAGAGCAGGTTTAAGGAAACAGAAGAAAACGCAGCTGTTGCTCGGGTACCGGCTGAATAAAGGATAAAAGCAAACCAGATCTCAGCGTCCCTCCCTGATACATGTGATCAGCATGAAATACGTCCAGGGAAACACTGAAGTTACTCTCAGTTGTTACAGATATAATTGAAGCTCTGGGCAAACCCTAGATATTCATGTAGAGGAAGAAATTTAATATGCAAAACTCCTGAAACAGCATCACATCTTCAAAAGTCTAATAATAGCTCTAAGGTTTTTTCAAGGCTCCTATTAAAATAAGCTGCTTTAAAAATACATACAAAACCAGCAGAAAAATACCTCCCAAGTTTTTCAGTATAAAACAGGCAAACTCACATCTGCTTTACTATTTGCTTGTTAATTACCTGAACTAAGAACATTACCATGGTGAAACTGGCAGGAAACAAACAAACAAAATCAACAAGAAATTCCCATGGCACAGCTGGTAGTCCAGTGGCTCATGAACTATGAGAGCTCACATGAAAAAACTGATAAAACCAGCAATAAAAAAAAAAAAAAAATCTGTCATTGACATGATAAAAGGAATTATCATAGTAAGGTTTGGAGGCCTGGGATTTTTTCATGCGTGTGTTTTGGCATTTTTTATGTACACTTTACACTCAGCATTAAAGAGCAAAAAGATAAATTCACAGTATTTTACAGAAACAGAGCCAGTCAGATTACTTTTGTAAGCACACAAAAAAGGTAGTAAGTTCAAACAGACTTTGAAACTTATCAAGTGATCTATTTGTCAGTAGAGAGAAGTGGATTCACAACCAACTACCCCATGTTCTTTTCTTGCTAACCATACTAACACCTCTCTACTAAGGCTTTGTTCCATGTAGAATGGAACACAAACAGGCAAAACCTGAGAAATTTTGCCTCTTTTTGTCTAACCCCACTGCCCAAGAATTTACTCCTCTTCTGGACTATTTCTGCCACTGGTGGCTTAGCAGTCACCAAGGCATCTGGCATTACATATGCTGTACAACAGACACTATCATCACTTGATATCATTGTGCTGACACTGCCACTGAGCTGCTTCAACAGTAAGGTCTACTCAAACAGAAGATTAAAATGTATTCTCCAGCCATAGCCTTCAAAGGTTACCTAGATCATCATAGTAGCCATTTAACAAATTTAAAGCCATTTAAAAGAGCAGCTAAGACAGGTAGACAGAATATACCACTCCAAGGTTATAAAATGGTTCATTTTGATAGTTGCAAATAATGTTTTCCAGAGAAACTGTGACCAGCTGGCAGAAAGCACCAACCAACCAGGAAATTACCTATTTTAAAAGTTATGGTGAGTGACCATTTATTCCTAGTATCCTGCCTGGTAAGTGCTCCAGGCCCACCAGATTACAGTGTTATTTCAGCCTTTCATTCAGCTCTGGAAAGTGTAACACACTTATGGATATGACCATGAGCACCCAAATGTTTTTATCTGAGAAACAAACAATCAAGCAAAACCAAAATCCTACTGAAAATAACATAATTGAGAAAATTATGATGCATCAATTTAAAAGTTCAGGATCATTTGCTCCAGAATTTACACCTGCACAAATTTGGTTTAATGCATGAGTATAAGGCAAGGACAGTATTTTAATCAGACAGACAGAAGAAAAAAGCATTGGCTTTCCCACAAAATTCCAGACTGCTGACAAATCTGAACTGCAGTGTTTCTGTTTCACCTAGAAACTCAGCAGATCCACACAGATGACCACTCAGAAGTTTTGTGCCTTGAAACCCATGAAATTGGGATTTATTTTATTTTTAGTTGAATACACATTTTAAGTTAAGTTTAAATTAAGTTAGCAGAAATGACAGATTATTTTCAAGTGAAAGAACCCGTAGTAATTCCTATTTCTGTAATTCTCCAGCAAAAACTTGCACTTTAAGGTAGGAGTAGTGAGACAATTGTGAACTTTACTAAAAACCTCAGTACACATGGTACTACAAAACAAGACCCTGCAAATATTGACCCTCGAAATTAAGCCATTATTGGATTCTTCCCATTCAGATAATACTGCCATCAACAATACAAATAATCCAATATACCCTACTGACCTGTCAGTTACTGCCATGGTGAACAACTCATTTCCAAGAACTCAGCAGGCCCTGCTAATCCCCATGAGCACTGGAAGAGGAAGGAGCTGGATCCCGGCACCAGCCTGGCACTGACAGATCCTCTGGGGGTGGAAATACTTGTTCTGTCACCACTTCACCTACAATTATGCATCTGGGTTTCCCATGGAGAGTCTGCACATAAAATATTTCTGTGCTTCTCCTGGTCTGCCTGTTTCATGCCCTGTGATGTTACTGCATCATCAGAACATTTATAGGAGAAAATTTAGTGCAGTATCAGGACTAATTGAGCTGCTTAATCAGGTCAGACCTACTGTACAGCATCTCGTGGTGAATCACACAGGAACATGGAAAGAGAAATAATCTCCACAAAATGAATCCTAATGCCAGCTTTCTTTGCTACTCCTTCATTATTCCAGCACGAATAAAGAACAAAGGATACAAAGATAAATTCCATTGTTTTATCCATGAATAAACCTCCAGGTGGTTGCACTTATGTTAATTTCTGATGCTGAACTGTAGCTTTTCTGTTTTTCTGAAAAGAATTAAGTATAGAAGTTGTTTCATATGTGCTCACACTGGCCTTTGTTTCCCAGTGGGAATCTCATCACAGCTTTAGCAGAAGCTTTAAAAGCTGCCAAGCAGTTTTGAAAATACCCCTGTAAGTGCTTAGCCACAACTGCTTTTGGTATAAATAAGCAAAATATTTATTTACAAAGCATAAAGTCAAAAACATGCTGTGGCAACTAAATAAATCTGGTAATCCATTCTGAATACAAAGACTGATTTCAAGCCATCAAAGCCTGTCAAAATGCACTTACCGGATTGAACATTCTTATAATATTAACCATCATTTTTCATTGTAAGCCACCTACTCATAAGCTGTAATAGATGAAATAGATGATCCTAGATAAATAAATTTTGCTATAGGGAAGAAGGGAAATTATTAAGTTTAGTTTCAAATATCTGATGTGCTCAGTTAGGAAGATTAACACATTATTAAAATGGTTCAGTTATCAAAATGTATCTACTCAGCTTTATATAGATTTCATCTACAACATACAGAGAGAAAAATCAGCACCTAAGGACAATACCTTATGGAAGAATATTTTGTCTTTCCTGGAGTAGACAAATAACACTGCTTATTTGACAATGTTTATATGCACATACTTCCCCTCACAAAGATACTGAAGAGTTAAACTATTCCTGCAAGAGAATTAAGATTATCTAAAGGGCATTGTTTGAAGTCAGGCAAGAAAACAGGGCAAGCAGGCCATGATCCTGCAAAATTATGGGAAACTGGGAGGAGACATAGGCAGGACAGCTGACCCCATCTGACCCGAGGGATATTCCACACCATCTGACATTGTGCTCAGTAGATAAAGTGGGGGAGGAGGAGGAAGGAGGGATGCTTGGAGTGATGGTGTTTGTCTTCCCCAGTCACGTGGGATGGAGCCCTGCTCTCCTGGAGGTGGCTGAACACCTGCCTGCCCATGGGAAGCACTGAATTAATTCCTTGTTTTGCTTTGCCTGTGCGTGCAGCTTTTGCTTAAGCATGAGTCTAAAGAGCTACCAGCATGAATCAGCCTCCCAAGGTGGCACCAAAAGCCCCTGCAAGCTTGCTGAAATTCCCCCTGCTCCCTAACATCACTGCAGGCAGGAATCCTACCAATGAGACATGTGGGTATGAACTTGGAAATCTGTAGAACGGACAAAATAAATAGCAGATCTAAACTCGTGTTTTCCAAACTTCTATCACTTGACCTTGGAATATTTTAAAAAGGAAATCTCATTTATCTGAAGAGTAAAACACCTGCCAGCTTCTCTGCATCTTCTTTGGAACTGCTGACCTGCAAGCATTTGATGATCACAGATAGGATCTTTTTTTGTCAAACTGGTGAATAATATTCCCCCAAAGCTTTCATCATGCTCATTTTCCCAAGGCATTTAGGGGGTAAGATAGCAGAGAGCACTATCAGATGGTTGCTATTTCAGACACGGATACCAAGAACGGCTTAGCACTAACGGGAAATGCAGATGCCCTGTGACACGTGTGGGATGATGGCAACGAACCAGGACCTGGCCACAGGATGCCAGCCTCCAGATGTTCATCCTGTGCCAAGGCATTCACAGAAACAAGTGCTGATGTAGATAAAATAAAGGCATTCACTTCTAAAGCAGGAGATGGATCCAGTGCTGCTATGATAAAAGCAAGGCCGTGAACCCCAAGGGTAGCACATCACTAGTTGCTACAGAAAGTACCACTTAGCTGATGGATATTTATTTTAACAGCATGACTTAATGAAAAGATATGTTTTAGAGATCTTAAAATTGTATGTCATGTATCTCTCTCACGGTAATTTAATAGAAAGAGATAACTATGTATCCATCTCAACAGCTATTTATCTTTAAGCGTCACTTCTTCCTGCTTTTCTCTGCAAGTACAGGGTAAAATGTAGCAGCAGTCAAAAATCAATATCATCTCCTGAGGAAATAGCACTGCTCCACACAAGGTACTACTGAAGTCGGTTTAAAAAGTGCCCACAGTTATATTCTACAGAAGGTCCAACTGATACAAGCCTAAGCCTCCATCAAATCTCTGTGGATGTACCAGTAAATGTCCCAGCCACTTCTGTGGGGCTCTGCAGAGAGATGGCAACTTCCACAGACAGCAGGAAATTAAGATCATATTAAGGTTCCATTTCTTGTCTGCTTTTTAATACCTTAAATGATTTTTGAGTGTATAAAACATGTCAAATTTGCAGTCATTCTTGTTTCCTGTCATTATTCTATCCCTGTTACTGGTAAACAAAATACTGTTTTGCGTATTTATGGTCCCCCAATTTTTTTTCTTATGTATACACTCTTGGATTTATAAGTTTAGAAACAACAGTACTAATTAAATGTATTTACATGTGATCTGAAAAATAAAAAAAAATCTGTAGAATAACTGAATTTTAAGCATCTAAAGCATGGTGGAATTCTTAGGAAAAAGAAATGAGAGGACTCAGGAACTCAAAATGGATTTTAACTGCTGACACTGATTATAAGAAATAGACATGCTTATCTCCACGTGGCTTATGTAAACAAACAGACCTGGTTGGTAACTTGATTAAACACCAGTTCAAATGATGCTTTTTAAAAACAAAGAAGCGAAAATTCAACTTAGATCCTGAACCTGCGTCCCGACTGCAAAAGGAATAATCAGAAATAATTGGTGGGTTTATTTATTAGATTTGATTTGCTGGACTTGAATTTTCAACAGTACCTTGTTATTTCTCTGTCATGAGTTGGAAAGTTACCAGAAAAATAACTAAAGGGGAGAATTTTACCAATAGCATGGGGCAGTATATTCAGTGGCAGAAAAGCTGATAAACTTGCCTTCTGGAGTGGGGAGAAAGGAGGGTTAGGGTTAGGGTTATGCCTAGGGTTAGGGTTTTAAACCAGAAAGCCCAGAGCTCCAGGCACACTGCAGCTGTGAAAGGAGTAAATGCTTTTTTTTTAATATATATCCAAAAAATAGATGGAATAGTTCTTGCTCAACTCTGTACTAAAATTAAGTCAGCTTTGGCCAGGACACTGTGTAGAAACTTTATCCTGAAGAGTGAAAACAAAAATGAAATAGAAAATTGGCTCCAAAATCACTCTCATGGAAACCACTGTGCAGACTTTCTGGAGCAGCATCCAAAGGAAGGTGGTTTAACATCTCCCAAGGGACCAAGATTCCTGATTGCCCAATGGAAGCTGAGCATTAACAAAAAGGCAAACAAAAGTAAAACCTTACCCTTAAAGTTGTTACATAACCAAACATTCTGTAAACTGCTTCATGGGAAGGAGATGGCATCTCACGACCTCCTGTGAAAATGGAAGAGGAGCTTGCCAACTTCTGGGCCAGGTGATCCTAGATTTCTCCAGGCTTTCTAATTACAATTAATAAAGGAAAATATTGGTCCAATAGCTCTTTTGGTATATTAAAGCAACTGGCAGATATGAGCATGAAGAAGGCAGTACCTACCCCAAGGTAGTGTATAAGTTGGAAAGACATCAGTCTTTCCAGGATCCTTGATGCATTCCAGAATCACAGCTCTCTCTGGTTACCACCACTTGTGAAGGAAGGCTGAGCCTCATCCAAAACCCTTTACAGTTAAATAAGAGCATAGATTGACTTCATCATGCTTTAGATTAGATCTTTATTTCTTTACCTAGCCATCTTTGGGGAGCTGAACTGGCTTAACCCAGCATCCAGTCCATGCAGCAGGTATTAGGAGACTGGGATTTCTTACTTAGCTTTGGACGCTGGGCTTCTGCTTTTATCCTTCCCTGTTCCCCACACTTGGAAGGCACTGGGGCTCTCTGAGGTGCTAAAGAGATACCCAGCAAAGGTGAGGTCAGGAGCATAAATGAAAGAAACCTGACAGGTCTCAAAGTTACATGTTGGAAACAAACTCCAAACATTTTGCTTTTCCTGATTTTCTAGTAAAATAGCTGCAGTGTTTCACTTAGATATTGCTTCCCCAAACATGAGGATCCCAAAATAGCACCATCCTCAATGCTATTCTGTGTCATAATGTTATTGGCACCACATCTAGCACTGGCTTTGATGTGGAACATGAGCTTAAATACTGATCTCTTTTCTACAGGCTTCCCAGTGTACAGCTGAAGGAAACAATGTGCAAGGGTCACATGCTACACACTGCCCAAACCAAGTTAGCCTGGACTGCAGAGTGAGTCTGGGATGGAAACCCCCCACTACTCTGGATATTGTAAAAAATAAGTACATTCTAACAGATAAAAATTACAGGATATAGTGTTTTTATACAAGCTCCCTGCTCTATGGTTCAGCTCACGGGGATCATTTTCTGCATCACACCAGCACATTTGGTACCTGTCCAAGCCAGCAAGCAAAGGCCCCCTCTGGAAATAAACCACTAGAGGGAGACTGACTTCAGCAATGGAACACCCACAGGGATAAAATCGTGCACATCCATTAAGAAAACCAACGAGATTCACGTCAAAATTGCTCTTTGTGTTTCTTCTTCACACGTAAAGGTGGCTGAAATTAAAGGGTCAAGTTTGGTTTCATCAAGGTAAACTGAAGGAGCATCATGTAGATGAGATCAGGCAGTCACGTGTTCTACTGTTTGTAAGAGAGGTTAGGCCAACTCTATTAAAAAAAAAAAAAAAAACACACCAAAAAATAACCCAGCCACTGAAAATACTAATAGCTGTATCCTAGCAACATCACGGATTCCATGTGGACTTTGTTCTGGAGTCTACAGTCCTATTTCATCAAAATTATTGACTTTCTCAAAGTCTCTAAACGACCATCAAAAAAACTGTTAGTGCTTAAAAAATACAAACATTTAATTAGTCACATTAATAAGAAAAAACTAAGAGCAGCATTGCGTGCTAGTGCTCCCTTTTCATGGAGCTCAATTTAGCTTCCTTTGAAACCAGTGTCAAAATTCCCACTTTATTCATTGGTAGCAGAGCCTCTCCTTCGAGGAGAGAAGCTGGAAATGGCCCTGCAGAACTTGGCAGATGAGGTTTGTTTCCAGGCTGAGCTCACACATTGCACGGATAGCATTCATACAGCTCTCCGTGATCCTCCCAGTCATCATGTCCTTATTGCAAAGGTAAATCAATTGGCATGCCAGTGGCACCCAGAGGCTTTCTACAAGACTTCTGTGCTATGCATATAACCAGTGTCCTTTTCTCCCCCTAAGCTTTGTTTTTGTTTAACCCCAAAAACCTTTTTTAAGATCTCAAAAAATGTGGAATCCTGCTGGATCTTGCCAAAGGCCCAGGCCCTGCTTCTCTCAGGTATGAAGATGTCAGGTTTAAAACAGCTCTGGGAGGATTTTTTCTCATCAGTCCTGCATCACTGAAGTGAACTTTGTTAGATAAAAAACAAAGGCAAAAGGCCAAATAAATAAAAAATGAAAGAACCCAGCCCTTCCATAGAAAAGCCCTTTGCACAAAAGGAATGCCTAAGAATAAACCCAATCCCAAAGAAATAAGCTCTTACCCCTATCAGTTTGCACGATGATCCAAGGAATCCTGGGCATTTTGGCACGTAACTCAGGGTTTGGGCAGGCTCAGATTTTGGTCACAATTTTCACTCACATCCAAAGTACATCACAGCTTTTCTGACAGTTTTCATCTGTTATTCCAAGCTCTGCTTCAACAAGTTAGCAACACCTTTTACCAGAGAGAAAGCACTATTAAAAGAATATTTTTCTTTTCATCATTCTGCCTTAAAAGTTCAGTTGATAGGATAGTGTGGTGAAAAATACTTCTAACGCTTTACTTAGCCCACAAAGTTGGTTGAGACCCACCAACACTTTAAAACTGCAAAGCCTTTTAATGTGCTATTCCTACAGTTCAAAGTGAAATGGCAAGAGAACGCCTTTGTTGAAGAAGTGATTTAAATACAGAAGGGTCAGTTAGTGGCATTCAGCTCATGAGCAGGAATCTGGTGATGGCTGGATTTGAATTCCAGGCATGGCACTGAACTGTCTGTGCTGCTCCAGTGGCGGTGGTGGAGAGCTTTGAGCTGACCCCACGGTGTCACAGGAACACTGCCAGATCATCACTCCACTCCAACACCCCGGCAGGGGTGTTATCTCCGCAGACAACACCCATTTAACTATGAATTTAGCATTCAAGCAGTGTTCATGGACTCTCTGGTACAGTTAAATCTCACCGTTTTAGTCACACCAAAGGTTTTGCTTTGCTCATCCTTTAGTTTCCACCAGCTGTGGGGGGAAGGGGCCATAGGCAAGGAGAGGATATCCATTTGCACAGAGTGCCAAAATAAGGGAGTAGTTCTGGCTTCATCTAAGCTGTGCAGTATAAACCAGCAGGAAAGGTAACAAATAAGGACAGTGGTGCAGCAAAGAAATAATATTTCAGATTTTATCTACTCAAAAGATGGTATCCGAAGGTACTTCCAGCACCTCAAATAACTCTCTGTGATGACCAGATTAATTCCAAAACTGCTCCAACAAGAGCAACTGAATAAAAATTTGAGAGTTGGATGCCAAATTCTGCTCCTAGTTATGCCTTGAAAGAGAGCTGTTTGGCTACTTTATACCTGGGTAAAAAGGGAGGGAAAAAGTAAAATACACAACATGGATAGAGATGCTTTGACTAGCCCAGCAGATTTGAAGTCTCTCCCTAGCATTTTGTAGGAGTAGCAACCTCAGCCTATTGGCCATGGTCAATGGGATTGCTTTTGATGGTAGACACTGCAGACAATGAGTGGAGAACAGCAAGGACTGAATTCATATGTAGAAAATAAAAACTTACCTTCACACTGGCTTTCAGTTGTGCATTACCTCAATTTTTTTTTAACCCAGTGAATTTTCTGGACAGATACTCACAGTAGGTCTCTTCAAAAGCAAAGAGAGGGTAGCAATGGAGCAAGACCAACATAGCCACCTTTTGTTCTGAAGCTGCCCACACTACCCATGGTGAATTTCCTGTTGGGTGCCAAAGGCCATTTCACTGTGATGAGGGTGGTGGATTCATCCTGTACAGATGAGACAGCACAGCCCCAGTGCAGGGAATGGAATGTGCTCTGTGAGGGTTCCAGTCACACACAGGGAGATGTGACAGCAGTGTGCAAAGCCTGGTGTTGCCTGCTTGTCCCACTGCCTGGTTTTACCTCACTCTGTGGAGAGGCTGCAGCGTGCACATGTACACATGGAACCAGAACACATTTATTTCAGGACTTCACAGCCCTTGCTGCTAACAAAGAACTTGGGCCCGAGAAGCACCGCAGCAGCAGAGCCAAGGGCTGGCAGTGCTCCTAAAGGCAATAAGCTGCTTATCTCTGGCCTAAGGAGTTTATAGCACCCATGTATCCCCAAAAGCTCATTAGCTCTTCAGCAAGCAGCTGAGACATTAGATGCACAAGCACAACAGCAGTGGCTTGAGTTTGCTACAGCACAGATAAAACTTCTGGCTTGGCTGGTCTGCAGCAGGCTGGTTCAATAGCCTGAAGCAATCCCACTTACGTATAAACTGGAGAAAGCCTGATCTTGTGAAATGCTCCTTAGTGCCTGGCTTTGCTGGTAGGAGTGTGTGTAGCTAAAACTCAGCCCTGCCATGAGGCTGCATCCACCTCCCTGGTACCCACCAAGAGCCAGAACTGGCATCTGGCAGCATCCCCTGCCACGTGCCCTGCCACAGCCTCACAGCATCTGCTTCTCACTCACCCTGCACCCCTCCATCACTCCCTGCCTCTGGGACAGAGGGGTGGCAATGCAACCCAAGCAGCTGGCCTGCATCTCATGAAAGGCAACTACAGATACAGGAAGAGAAGGACAGGAAAATCTGTGCCTGGGGACATTTTAAAGGAATGGTTTCTCATAAATATCTTGGCATGTCCATGGGACTGGATAGCAGCTATGAGCTCCTGTAGAAAGCCATCATGTCAGGGATATTTCCTGTCTCACAGCAGCTATTCCTTGTGTCACAGGGGGAGGTCTTCCACAAAGGAGCTGCTTCTGAAGAACAGTGTGTCACCAACAATTCAGCAGGTTAAGTTTAGCAGAGACAGTGATAGAAGTGAACAGGAAGGAGCTATTCTTCCCTTCTGCTTTTCTTCCCTCTCCATTGAGCAAAGCCTTTAAAGACCAGGTCACTCTGCAGAAGGCTACAGAACTTTCAGCAAGTGGCATGCATGGAGGCTTTCACAGCCATGATACCTGTGTCTGGTTATTTCCAGTCAAAATAATCTCCTACTCAATTATGGAGAAGAATAGAGAAGCTCAGCCTGACTCACAATCACATGGGGGAAAAATGAGAGGAGTTGTTCAAGTTCAAAACGTTCATCTTGCTGTGGAGGAGGATTAGTACTGCTGTGGAAGGAGGCTTTCTCTCCCCCTGCAACAGCACAGCACTAAGGGATGGAAAAGACCCGAGTCCACTTCCCTGCTGTGCCAAATATACTCCTCCGTTCTTCCCTCCTCCCTCCCCAGGAGAGCAGATGAAGCATTAAACAGCCAGGAATAAGCCCTTGAAAAATGTGATTGCTAGCTGTCAGATATCCCTCTGCCACAGATGCAGCTCTGGGACTGCTCGCCTGCACATCCTCCACTGCCATCCAGGAAATCAGCATTCAACAGTGACATTAATAGTCCCATCCACTCTGGTGTCATCTGTACATTTTGCACTACTGTGCTAATAATTATAGGAACAAAACCACATCCAAAATTCTTCATTAGTGTTTTGCTGAGCTCTGCTGGCCCATGCCCTTCCCAGCCTGATGGCAGTGCCCCATCCCCAACCTGGCATCTGGATCCTCTGTAAGCAAGAGGCAGGGTGGGAGTTTTCCAGCATTGGTTTAAATCTGTCTTCGTTTCACTGGCAAGTGCCATACCTGTGCCCTGGTTACAGAGGGCAAGCATGGCTCCTGTGCAGAGCAGTTATTTTGGGTAGTACTGTAAATGTTGCAGATTTTAATCTCCTCACGCTGTTTTCACATTACCCAGTGCCCAAACATTACCTTAATGTGTCATCTTCTGTTCTGTCATTGCCACAGAGTATTACCATGATCCTTGTAAACACCCACAAACCTGCCTCATTAGCTCCTGACACTCCCTCCTCCCCTTCCAGGGATGACTGATAGCCACCCTTATGCCAATGCCATTCCCTAGGCTGCAACCTCGTGCTTCGCTCATTCTCCCCCTTCTCTAGGGCTCGTATCAGCTCTCTCTCCCATCGCACTGTCGGATTTTAAGTTTCCTTGGCAAAAGGACAGCTTGTGTAGCACCCTGGTCCCTGACTCATTCTACTAGGTGCAAAGATAACACAAATAATGAGTGTCATCCAGAGAATTTCTGGGAATTACAGGAAGCTGGGAAGGAGGACCTTTAATCTTTTTCTGCCAGATCCAACTGAAGCCTCTGTTATCCCTTTTTGCTCCAGCCTGACCTTTCCATCTCCTTGATTGCAAAGTCTGAAAACTTTTCCTTGCCTGAATTATCTGTGACAGCAAAATTGCTTTGGCTGACTGCTCTCACCTGTCCTGCTTCCCTGTGGCGTGTCAGCCATGGTGGAGCTCAGGGATTGTCCTTCAGGCATGTCCAGACATTTCCTACTTCTTCCTTTACATCACACCAGGGACAAGACTGATTTCAACTACACTGTTACAGGGCTACAGGACACTTCTCTTTCCAGAAACGTTATGCAGAGCTCCCAGCCACAGGAACACAAATAAAACCACTAATAATAAATAGACAAGGATTCAGGATGCACACCAGTGACTGATGGAAAGAAGGCAGTATGCCACAGTATTTGCTGCAAGAGTCCCTATTTCAGCTGTCTTTCCTGCTCAAGGCAGTGAGAGGAGAACATGAAGAGGCAGCCAATTCAAGTAAAGCACACTGAAAGGTCAGAGGCATCCATCTAGCTTGTGCAGCACCATTTTGTAAGCAGAGAATAGGTCTTCATTAAACTCGTTCTGTGAAAGTGATTGAAGGGAGAAAGGAAAATAGCTTAACACTCTCATTACAATCTCTGGGAATTACCTGTTCCCCACGAGTGCTTTGATGGGTCTGGCTTTGCCCAAATCAATAGACACACAGCGTTTCCAGCCCCCAGCAGGGCACTGAAGGAAGGAGCTCTGTGTTTGAGTGTCCAGGGTACACCCATGCACAGAGGGGTCCCTGCTTGGCTGGGGGCTGGACACCTGGCAGCACCAAAGATGAAGGCTTTGCCATGTGGATACAGGGACAGTCCCTGCTGCTCCTTTTGACTCTCAGTGGTTGACATTTCCACAGGCACTGCAGTCCCTGCAGATGGGAAGAGCTCCTTGAGCACCCCAGCAAAGGAGTTGCAAAATACCCTATTTCTACTTTTTAGTCAAATGCTGTGAGTCTGGCACTAATGTCCAAGCTGAGACTGAGTCTGGATGAGGAACTTGTTTGAAGCTGATGGGTCTGATGCAACAAGACATGAAGCAGCCTGAATTGGTGTTGGCTTGCCTGTATGGGGTCACCCAGGTGGGGCAGGAGGGCTCTTCTCCTGGCAGGGTGTAACCAAGAGGCAGAGTTATCCTGGTGGGTCTAATGCCAGGTCAGCCCTTTGGGAGGCGAGGAGCCTGCTCATATAAAGACTGTTAACCCCCTGCCTGCCCTTTTATTTTCTTCATTCCTTCTGGCCGTCCCTTTAGTGTCACATCTCTCAGGCAGCCAAATTCTAGGCTCACACCTCCTATAGCACTGTATAACAGCCTCATCAGGGAAGCAGCCCTGGGAAAATGGATGAAACACCATTCCCTGCCGGCTCTCTTCTCACTACAGGTGGAAGAAAGATGAGCTAGCAATTTGCTGCTGGCCTGGCAAGATAGCAGTGAATTACGGCAGCTCCTGAGCCAGCTCAGCTGCGCTGGCGAGCGTTCAGGGAGAGGAGAAACCCTTCCCGCAGGAGCGGAGGAGGGAAGCAGGTGTGTTATTCCCTTTTGTTCACTTGATGGCAGAGATCACAGAGCTAACACGGGCCATGGGGGATCCTCGGCTCCTCTGAAAAGCCACATGTCCCCCGAGGACAATCGATGCTCGTACTCGTGTTTGGCAGAGCACATTGTCCTGGCAGCCTGCCGTAGCAGAGCCCGTTCCTGGGCTGCACCGGGGCCAGCCACACACGCGGTGTCCCCAATCCTCCACAAAGACAAAGGTGCCAGAGGCGCCAGGGCTGCCGAGGGGACACCGCGAACCCGGCGCTCGAGTCACTGCACGAATGTGAGAAACGCCTGGAAAATCGCACAAAGCACTGAACAACCCGTGGGCAATTCTCTGTCACAGTAAAACTTCGGTGCAAATGAGAAACCTAACAACTGAAAACAGCTCAGATGCACTGGTAGGAAGCAAAAAGCAGCATCAATTATCTACCACCTATGGTTTTTTTTCCCCTCTCAGGATTTCCTTGGTCTCCTAACACTGCAATAAATAATGGACATAAACCAGATCCTGGGGCAAATTAAGTCCTGTGTGATACAGATTGCCCTCGACACATCTTTGGGCCAAAGTCTGGCTTTAACTCACCACTGTTAAAATGCCAGGAGTTCAGCAGAGCTGCTCTGGACGTCTGGTGGCACGATCAGGGTCAGAGCCTGGTCCCTGCTACACGCAGAAAGACTTTCTGAAACCAGCCAGAAAGATCTGCTCGAAAGATGCTCCACCAACCTTCGCTTTTGGGGCCGATGCAGATGATTTAATTGCTACAGTTTCTGGAATAACGCTGAATTTACTGATGGCTTTTAATAGAATGCTCAAAAAGGATTTCAGATGTGTCCTTCACAAGAGGCCATGAAGGAAACTCAGTAATAGTACGATAATTGCATTAGCATCTCCAGTGAGCCCAGGGCCGTGCGTTGGTGCGTGCCTTACAAGGCACGCAGAGAGGCCTT